CCGGGGTCCCGCTGGCCCCCCGAGGCCCGTTCCCCCCGGCCCCCCGCTGGAGGGGCTCCCGCAAGCAGCGACTCCGGATCCCCCCTTTTTTTGGGGTTGTTCCCCAGGGGACCCCGTCCCACCCACCTCCCAAGTCCGACTGCAGCGGGGAGGGTCCGGTGCCGGGCAGCGCTGGGCGATGGGGGTGGCGTTGGTCCCGCAGGTCCCCGCGCAGCCCGGAGCAGGTCCTGCCAGGGTGTCCCACACGGGGGTTGCAGGATGAGCTCCGGCAGCCTTGTCCCAGGCTTGCTGCCACCCTCGGGGCCGATGCCTCGGGGTCCTGCTCCATGCGGGGGCCACCTGCACGTTGCCTCTGTGAGTGGAGGGTGCCAACACCAGCGCTGGGGTTGCCCACCTGAAGAGGATGCCGTACTGGGAAGAGCAGAGAGAAGCCAAATTTCCCTCCTCCGGGGCCAGCGTCCAGGCAGCCCTATCCCTGCAGACCCCCAGGGATTCGGCTCCACCAAGGGCAGTGCGGTGTCCCCAGGGCTCCGCGGGAGGGACCCTCCGTGCCCTGGGCAGAAGGAGGACACCCCGCGGTGCATGCCCACCCCTTCCCCAGCCCTGCGGCGTGCGTTAGCGGCGCTGCTGGAGTCGCTCTGCTTATTATCATATTTAATTGCCCTCCTGGTAACCCCAGGAAATGAGCAGAAGATTGCGATAGCAGCAGTTTCTGATGATGTAAACACGAGCTCCATCTCTCCCCGCCGCCTTGCCAAGTCGGTCCCAGGGAGAGCGGTGATTTATGGAGACCCCCAGCCCTGCTCCCCCCGGCTCCTGCCTGCCTGGGCTGCGAGTTTAATCTCGGCCTGTGAATTCAACATAAATCACTTGATTAAAAGCTCTGTTTAATTTAGGAGGGGGTGGGGGGGGGGAAGAGCGCAGCTGATCGATTTAATTTACACAGGGAAATAGCAACAAGCAGATGCTTTTAAAAGGGCCAGCGAGGCCGATGATGCTGCAGCCGTTTCAGCTTAACCATTTAAGTGCTTGGTGAAGGGGCTGCAGCCTCTCGCCCCCCCCCGGGGGAGCCACCGCTCGGCACCCCTGCCCGGACCCCGCACGCCTGAGGGGCTCGGGGGGCCGTGGGGCGCAGGATCCCCCGGGATGCCCCGACGGAGGGTCCTGGGCAGCATCCTTAACTGCCCCAGGGCTTCCCGGGCGATGATGAGACGCCGTTCCCAGGGCCAGCGGTTTCTGGAGGCAGCAGGTCAAGTTTAAACACGAACAGGTTGGGACTGGCACCGCTCCTCCTTTGGGGGAGGGAAAAAGGCAGGAAAGGTGGAGAGATTGAACCGGAGCCGCAGCGGGTATGTCGGGTGGGGAGGGCTGCCCTGAGTGTCACCCTGAGCCCATGGGGACAGTGGCATCTTCTGCGGTGTCCTCACAGCGGGACCCGTCCCTCACCCTGGGTCGTCCCCAGGAAAGGACCCGCCAAAAGGCGACACTTTCTGGCACTGTCACAGTCGCGCACGCGTCGTTTCGGTAGCAAAAAAATGGGTTTTGGTTGTTGAATGGGAGAGTATTTTTATGGGGAACGTCGAAGCCATGGAAAACAGAGTTCCCACAAAAGCAGCCATCATTCCTCTGAACGTCACCTTCCCAAACCGGTCGCTTGGATGAGCTTTAGCGCCCGGACCCCCTACAGCCCCTTCCCTATGGCCCGCCAGCCCAGGGCATCTCCCACCGCCCCCCCAGGGACGGCTGGCAGAGTCTCGGTTAAAGTCTTTAATAATTACAAGAATTCCAGATTCATTACAGAAGAGTTTACAACAAATAATATTTCTCCATACAAAGGCAAAATAAACTTTTCAAGTAATAGCGTCCCGGCTCTGGAGTCTCTATGCCGGTGACGGGGAGGCAGGGGGCACACGCAGCCCCCGGCGAGGGGCTGCCCCCGGCCGGGGAATTGCCC